TGTTGCTCAGTGGTTGAGCATCAACCTATGAACCAGGAGGTCACAGTTCCATTCCCAGTCAGGGTACATGCCTGGGTTGCGGGTTTGATCCCCCAGTGGGGGGGGGGGGGGGGAGGGGTGGTGTGCAGGAGGCAGCCGGATTCTCTCTCATCATTGATGTTTCTATCTCTCTCTCCCTCTTCCTTCCTCTCTGAAATCAATAAAAATATATTTTAAAAAACACAAAACGTTTTACAAATTTCAGGTGGTTATGCCTCTGCCCCAGTGTCACTCAGGTTAAGCATCCCTGCTCCATCTTCCCCTCTGGCTCTTGGTGGGGCCTAAGTTTTGACAGTTCATTGACTCTAAGACACTGGGATTCTATGTGTTTATAATGTTATGAGTCTCCAAATATAAGATCCTACATCTTGCCAATGTACAATTTAAATTGAGGCCTGAGCTTCTCCAGGCAGTAGAGTTAGCAGCAATATTTATCAAGTTCAGCATGTCCCAAACTGAACTCATTATCTTCTCTCAACAAAAAAATTTTTGAGCTTCTGTAATGTATCAGGCACTGAGGATAAAATTATGAACAGCAGCCCTGGCTGGGTGGCTCAGTTGGTCAGAGTGTTGTCCGTACACGAAAAAGGTTGTAGATATTCCCAGTCAGGGCACATATCTAGGTTACGGGTTAGATCCCTGATAGGGGGCATGTACAGGAGGCAACCAATTGATGTTCTCTCTCACATTGATATCTCTCTCTCTCTCTCTCTCTCTCTCTCTCTCAAACAATAAACATATCCTCAGGTGAGGATAAAAAAAAATTATGAACAACAAAACCCACACCCTTGCTTCTTTAAGTTCTTTTGAAGTGGAAATGGAGCTGGAGTAATTGCAAGTCGCATGTGATGCATGCTGCAGGAGGAACCAAAAGAGCTTAACAGAAACAAATTGTACCAGGAGTGAGGTTTCAGTGAAGAGCTGACCAGAGGAGGCACAGAGTACATAGAATTGAAAACAGCATCACCATGAGCCATAAAACATGAGACTCTGCTCCCCAACTCCAAGAGGGAATTCTAATGGGCAGGGTGTGTCGCAGCAAAATCTACTTGAACTCTTGGCTGTGGTCCCTTGGAATCCACACAAGAAGCTTGAGCTTCTATAATAGACTAGAGGCCCAGTGCACGAAATTCATGCATGGAGGGGGGAGGTCCCCTCAGCCCAGCCTGCACTCTCTCTAATCCGGGGCCCCTCGGGGGATGTCCGACTGCCGGTTTAGGACCGATCCCAGGGAATCAAGCCTAAACCAGCAGTCGGACATCCCTCTCACAATCCTGGACCACTGGCTCCTAATCGCTCACCTGCCTGCCTGCCTGCCTGGTTGCCCCTAACTGTCCCCGCTTCCGGCCTGATCACCCTTCACTGCCCCCCCTGCAGGTTTAGTTGCCCCTAACTGCCCCCCGCTGCTGGCCAAGTTGCCCCCAACTGCTCCCTCCCTGCCGGCCTGGTTGCTCCTAACTGCCCTCCCCCCCCCCCCCCGCCAGCCTAATCACCCCTCACTGCCCCCCCTGGCAACCCAATCACCCCAAAATTCCCTCCCCCTGTTGGCCTGGGCGCGCCCACCTGCCCCCCTGGGGGCCTGGGTGCCCCCTACCGCCCCCACACCGGCCTGGGCCCCCCATGTAGCCCGCTGTTCAGGCATTTGGTTATCCCTCACTAAACTCCCTGCCGGCCTGGGCGCCCCCCGCAGCCTGGTTGTTCAGTTGTTTGGGCATCCCTCAACAATGGCCCTGCCGGCCAGGTTTTAGGCAGCCATCTTGGGAGGGTGTGAGGGGTAATTTTCATACTACCTCTTTATTATGGAGGATACTCTTCTTTCTTGAGGAGAAACCAGCACATGGGGTCAGGTGGGGCTTACCCTCATGGCTGAA